TACACTAAAAAGCCAAAAAAGTTAGTTTTTTACTAACTTCTCAAAGCACCACATAAATTTTGCTTCATGGTACCATTACCACTGTTTTACGGATCTCTGCAACTCTTCTACTACAAGGGACCATATCAATTCTTATAGATTTGTTTCACAGTACTAACTCTGCATCCAACTTCCAAGACAAACGCTATTATTTATTTATTTATTTTACTTTCTTTTTAACAATCATTTACTGTCTGTGTTAATATTCAAGATTTTTTGAATGAGTTATCTTGACAATTTGCTCCATTGCATTTATGTTGAAAATAATCAACATACCATAACTTTCTTGCAACCTGGTTCAATATGTCACATTCTTTTACACTTCTAACAAATTGAAATAACTAAATATCATAATCTATATCCATGCTACTAACAAAAGATTCAATAAGAGAAAAGATATACTTTATGCTTAGACCTTTTTCATATATTTGTGAAAAATTTAATCCCTCAATCTAATTATATAAATGTTCTAATTTAAACATTATTGATTTAATTTGAACTTTAACACTTTAATTTTGTAAACTTTACACATATTTTCTCACAATTAAACTTCCATTTAAATATATTAATACCAACATTAGTATTATTATATGAAACATGTGCAACACTTCATCATTTACAGACTTTGAAAGTGTCAAGATGGAATTGATCAAAAATACTTTTTGTTGTGTTTGGATCTTGGATTGTGGAAGGGATTTGTGAAGGGAAAGGAAAAGTGAAGGGTTTCTTTTCGCAAATTTCTATCCGAATTCATGATTCAAAACATAGCCTATAATAATCTATTAAGTGTAATACAATGGTGTATTGAATATGATTTTTAAAATATATACTAATACAAGATTCCAATATTTAACTCTTTAATTATTCTAATGGAGAAGATGTGGAGGGGAAGACCTAAGCTGACAAGGGATGTGGTAGTTAAAAAAGATATTAATTTATTTAATTTAATCGAGCATATAGCCTTGGTAGATTTGCAGATAAATTGAGTTACAGCTTCCTTCATTTTTCAACAACTTTGATCCTCGTGCTGCTCTTGCTAATTTCCCTTCAGGTAATGTTACTTTCTAATTTTTACCATCAGATTCTCAAGTATTCATCACTGTTGTTTAGCTGGCTCTCGGATTGCTTACAGCTTGAAAGTGCAAATAACATTTTTTTAAAATTGGACATGTCAGGTGTGCAAACATATTTGGCTGGGCTTACATTCGCATTAGCCGTTTCACCTTGCAGCACTCCTGTGCTGGGAACCCTGCTTGGATATGTGCTGGGAACCCTGCTTGGTAATGTACTTTTAAATGTTTATTGATTTCAATTTCCATCTAAATTATTACCTTTTTCAGACTGCTTTATACTGATCGTTCTGGCCTATAATGATGGCTTAGCACTCTTATCTCTATGTCTCATGTTTTTGATGCATCATATATGCTATACATTGCATTTGAGCTTCTAAACCTATTATTTAATTACATAACAAGCATGTCAACTTAGTATGACTGCATTATCTTAACATTCACAGTTGAGGGAGCAAAATTGGCACAATATTGGTGGGGCCAATATTTGTATTTATAGGAAACCCAGTTTGCAAGAAGCTACCCAAGTGAAATTTGAGACTCAGGAGGGCCATGGCTCCCCTTCATCCAAACATAGGCCCACCCCTAGATCCATCTTTTGAGTTGATAGTTTGCATAATGCTTACTGGTTGATTATTTATTCGATCCTCAGTTTCCAATATTGAGGACAAAAAATGCCAGTCATAAATAAATACTAATGTGAAACTCCTAACAGGATCCAGTAATAGGTGGCAGCTTACTGTTGACATTACACAACTGGCTATGTTGCTCCTCTACTTCTAGCTGCTTCTTTTGCAGGAGCATTGCAAGGTATACTCTTTTTTCACTATGTAAAATCTTGTATGTGAACTCTTGATGTGCATAATTTACTGCTGCTTTTCCCCTCCTTTCCGAGGTATATATAGATAAGTTGCATTGTGGGCCAGGGGCAAAATTATGATTGTTCCAATGGCTTAGTGTACTTAGCCAATGATTGGCAGGCTACTAGGGAGACATGGGACTTGCCCAGATCTTCCTACCATCGGTAGGGGAGGCCAAATCCGTGTCATCACTGATAAAACATTTGCCACTCTGTTTCGTTCTTACTCCTACACTTTGTTGTCTATTTTATTGTTGTTTTGTCTGGGCAATTCTAACACATTGTCTGTAGAGCCTGCTTCATTCTGCAAATTCTTAGCATGGATCAACCCAATGAGGTATTTTCTCCCCATTTTTTGGCATTAGGATAATGTTGTGCTTGAGGTTCCTTTTTTGCATCTACTCTTCAATGTTCATCTTCATTAGTGTTAGATGTTGACAATTATGTTCCTTCGAGTGTGGTTGTCGCTCATTATACATGACGTTAGAAAAAAGAGCTTTCAGAAATGAGCGGGGGTTCTGAGCTGGTTCAATTTGGTTCAATCTCAGGTTTGAATTATTTTATTGTTTTAAATTTTGTTACAATTTTCTCCTGAAAAAATGATACATTTCTTTGAGGTTTTCTCTTATGCTGATAAAATCATGATTATGCAGTTACAGTTCAAACTTCTAGTGGAAGCATTTCTTTCTGCAGCGGTGAGTTTATTCTTGCTTTCAAATTTAATGGCCATGCTTTGTATACTTTTTACCTATGAACTTAGAAATTTTAGGGCTTCATGAAGTAATCTTGACACTAGAATTTTGGTGGATGGAACTTCTAATGGAAAATTCCATTTTTGGCTTACTTCAAAAGGGTTCTGCTTTTTCAATACTTACCTCCTTCATCTCTTCTCCAAAAGATAAAGATCCATGGAATTTTCATTAGAGAAAAGAAGATACAATGGATGGATGAGATTAAAAAAAGAAAGAAGTGAAAAAGGGGTGCTTCAAGGCAATAAGAGCTTGTTACCCAACCCATGGAATAAAATAGTGATGTATATTACCCATAGTAAAGACCAAGTTTTTAGAATGCAAGAACGAGTGTGTGCTCAAATGCAAATGATTTGAGATCAATATACCAAGTATTAAGCAAGATAATAGGATTAATAGAGAGAGTAGGCACAAGTTTATCAAATTCAAGGTACTAATTTTGTGTTAGGGATGTCCAAACATATATCACAATGAAACACAACCACCCAAAGCATCCAAAGACGTCATCAAAACCGAAGCATAGGACTAACAAAT